GTCCATAATGGCATTTACGTCCGAGCGCCCGAGTCCGAGGCTTCGAGAGCGTCTGCAGACGCCCGTCGTGAAAGCCGATTTGGCAGTGTCCATTCTGATTCTGAAAGGGAACATGGCCGTCATATAAAAGCGCTGAGCTCGCAACAGCAGTCGCACGGTGTCGGGATCGGTTGTGTTTCCAGAGAGTTTTTCCTTCATGAATCGGCGCCACTTGGCTCTCCACAGTGCAAACGGCATAATGAGCGTTGGGAGCTCCGGAATCGCGGCTCTGATCCCATCGCACAGTTCCTTCACGATTTCTTCTGGCGAATGCGACGAGGTCAGAGAGACCGTCTCGAGCGCGCCTTCGCATGAGGGTCCTCGCAATGAGCGCTGCTCGACTTTCAGAAACTCGTGGACGATATCCTTCGGGACCGCTGATTCTGTGGCTCGATGGTGCAGGTCGTTCAGCGTTGAGTTCCTCAATTCTTGGTATCGGAGCACAACACCATCCCACTGCTCCTCGGAAAAATTCTGGGCGGTCTTCATTTCCGGGGAAGCGAGGAAGAGCTCCGAGGTCAGGTTTCGGAAGATCGCTCGGACCGAAGGTCTGGTTGAATTTAAGTAAGCTTCCCGACTTAGGGATTGGTTGCGATTGAACCAGATCAAGAAGTGGTCGTAAGGATCGCAGAGATCGTCCGGTTCAGGCTCAGTACTGATCCTAACTTCAGGCGTATTTTCCACGCCATCGAGCCCCATGGTCAGGACCACGAGGAATATCAGCAGACGGTCCATCGTGTATGGATTTGATACAATGTCAGAAGACGATTCTTTGGATCGAGTCAGAGAGAAGGATATCGTTTACTCAGCTATCGCCGAGATGCGACCTGTCAACAGCCCTAGCGTTCTGGTTGCGTGTGAACGTTCCTTTTGCGGAAAAGTTCAAGGTCGGAAGAAAGGTCTCCCTGCCGTTGATTTTCACAGCATGCCGCATGATCTCACATCGAACACTTCCGTGACTTTGCCAGCGTCAGAAACTTCGCGGACCGAGAACAGGAACAGAAGTTGCTTGACGACAGCTTACGCGCAGATCTTGCTCGTCGTCAAGGCTACGGGTCTCCACTCGGTCTCGCCCTGGCGGGACGACTCGAGAGGGGTATTGAAGGAAGAATCCCACGAAGTTTCGCGCCCTCTGCGCATGGTGAGAAAATGAGCTCGAGCCACCTCATTGGATGATACAGAATCCATCGGATCGAGATCCGGAGGTGATACAAGGTACTCTACGGAGCCGACATTCCAGTGACGTTCAGTCATGCTGGAGCACCGGAAAACGCGGAAGTACCAATCTCAAGCAACGATATCCCGGCCATCTCCAACCAGGCTAGCCTCATCCGAGCCGCTTCATCGGTTCAGCCGTCGGCATCGATTAGGTCCCGAAAGCCGAGAAATGAGCTGGATGCGCCGGGTGGCTTGATCGCGCGGTGACCACGGAGATTCTCTCCTCACATCGTGAAGGTATGACGCGAAATGGTAGTGCCGCGTCTCTGTGCGCGGGCAACGTATTTATGAAGAAATCTCACTCGGAGCTTCCATCGACGTCTCCGAAACGTCGACGGTGCTCGGAGCGAAAGCTAAAAAGCTGCTGTTGAGGAGGAGCAGAGCCATTTGGACGAGCAAGATGGAGGAACGACTTATGTTAGCCAATGCTTCGAACCGAGTCGAATTTTCCAGCTCCGAGCCCGATCATGCAGTCGAGCCGTTGACTCCGTCTCAATCAGATAGATAGATCAGATAAACAGAAGATTCGCCCTCCTTCCGACAGCTAGGCCTCGATCGGGAGAGAGGATCTTCGGACCATAGCAGAAAAGAGAAGAAAGCGTCAACCTCTCCTCAGGTTTCTCGTTGGGAAGTTACCTAAAGTCAAACGAGCGGCTAATCCTCTCGGGCCCGAGCCAGCCCCGAAAACCGCTTTGAGCTCTCTCGCAGCCCGTTTCTACGGACTTCTCTCCTTCTCCGTCACGATCCCTTCGGAACTTCGCGAACCTGAGAAATCTGAAGCTGTCGTCGCGAGTCCGGCATCGGCCCACCGACAGACCGCCAGATGAGCCATCGAATGGCATCGCATGTGGGCCTGGCACATTCTCCCCGGGCGCGAAGTGCTCTTTGACGGCATATTCGAAATTCGCGTACTCGACTCCGGCATCCCGACTGATTAGGCGGAATAGTGGCATGCGAAGGGCAACGGGGGCATGTGATAAAATGAGCATGTCGATGCCCACAAGTGTTTTATCCGAACGACGATCTCCATCTTCATTCCTCTTACGATACCTAATAATTATAGACCTGCCGATCTGCTCAGCCGAGGCAGGTTTGAATCCATCCGCGGTCGGATGAATCGGTATCTTCTCTATGCGGCAAGGATTACCTATCGCTCAATATATTCGAAGTGGAGACGGCGCGGTGTACCTCTACGTCCCGAAGCCGATGCATGGAGCTCGAACGCATGCACAGCGATCCAATCGGCTCACCGGGAGAGATCTCGAGCCTCCGGTGATATCTTGATTCAACCATCTTTCAATTAACCCCTCCGGAAATAGAGAGGTGTACAATTCGACTTGTGGAGATTTCGGAGAGTGAGCATCATCAGACTCCGCCTCCAAATCGTAACGTCGCCATACCTTTGGATCTGGGGTCTTGCCAATTGAGCTCGTGCTCGCTGCTCTCGTACAGACTTGTGGAGATTTCGAAGAGTGAGCATCATCGGACTCCGTCACCTGACCGTAACGCCGCCGTACTTCCAGTTCTGGCTTTTAGCATTCCGAGCTCGCGCTCGCCCTTCTCGCACTGACTTGTAGAGATTGGGCAAGCAGAGTGAGTTTTTGGCAAGGAACTCAGGATTGGGGTTCAGAACTCTACAGGTTTTCTCGAACCGATCTTCATGTATTCTTGTCGATTCCGTCTGATGATGCTTCGCCGTACCTTCACCAAACTCTCTTCAAGAAGCCTCACGACTTACGACGCCGTAGAGCAGCCCATGGGCTACAGAGGCACCGTTATGCCAGGTACATGTTAAACACACACAAGTATAATAAAATAGCAATAAATCTCTGGATGCAATGATTGATAAAAAATTTACTCACAATTTTTTCCCCAATGCGACCTCCCTACCATACCCTAGACCGCAATCTTCCGCTGGAACTGGATCTCCCCCTTACTGATCTGTCGCTCCCATTCGTCATAGGACCCTGGACCCATAGGATTGGTATCTGGAAATAGTGTTCGGAACTCCAGATTGAGTTCAGTATGAGATTCGGAGGAGTTCCACGGCGCGAACGTCTGGATCTCCGATTCTAATCTCGGAGAGGTCATCGCAGACACTTATGGTGAAATAATTCCCCACCCTGCCGACCTTCCCCCGAGCATGATGTATGAGTGAGGCTGGGAATAATTCACGGCATTTTTCTCGAGAATTCGCTGATTTTCTCGCTTGCCATGGACGTCATATGAGGGATCATCAGAAAATTCGCGGAAATTCAGGGCGTCTGGTGCGACCGCGCTGAATTGCCGGCCCTAAATTATGAGCCATCTTGATGTGAGATGTTCCTGAGCTAAACGAAATTCGATAGGAGAGCTCTTAAGGCAAAGTCGAGCGCATAGAAGGTTCATTTCCTCTTGGCTCAGAAGGCTTCGGAAGCGCGAGGGGGCCAAACCCAAGCATTTAGGAGTCAGGCATCTGGGAATCGGGCACTTGGGAGTCGGGCATCTGGGAGTCGGGCATCTGGCACCTAACCCTTCGAGCTGCCATGAGCAGTCATATGGCCAGCGGATCGCTGAAGTTCTCGGAGAATTTCGTCTTCATGGAGGGAAGTCGTTATTCCCATACTGAGGTTCGGGGTGAAAGATGCGGATGCTGCATTCAGGTATTTCGGCCCCGAAACTCCTCAGCCGATTTAGATGATAAGCCCCCAGACGATGCCTGATTGAGAGAAGACATCGCCGAGTCGAGGCTCCGGTCTCCTTGGCGTCGAAGCTCCCGAATCACCTCGGTTCTGCGCTGACAGCCACGAGTAAGAGCACCCTCCGACTCATCGAGAACGGATCGTGAGCAAAGTTCAAGAGAGTGTTTGCTCAGCGATCCTCGGCATGCCAAGAGACGTCGTACGGGGCCTTCCGGATTTGCGTGACTGTGTCGAGTGCAAGGTCGGTGGTTTTTCCGTGTCTTTGTTTTCCGCGGGATGCCGAGAAAAATTGGATCGGATTCGACTCTGTGACTCCGGCTAGAGACTCCCGCACAGTGATTCCGCTGTAGCTGAGGGTCCTGCCGTTTTTTTTCCTCGCGACCTGATTTCTCGATGCAAGTATCCCTTACGATTTTCCTCTTCTCGAGCGGTCAGAGCGGGAGGCGTCACGCTCGGGTGAGACTCCTCCTGTTTCAAATGATTTCATGTTCGCCGAGTACCTCAGCTTTGGGTATGCTGAGAGGGGGGACTCCTAGCTCGCGGGAATTCGTTCTCTGTGTAACGGCCTGTCAGCCGCGAAAAACGAGAGCTCATTGAACTAGTAGGAGCGTTCGGGGAATCTCTCGTGAGCAGAGCGCACATCGACTCTCGCGTAAATGCGGCGTCCTCTGTACGATGACCCACGACAATCATTCTCTTTGTAAGTCACCAAAGCACAATGTATTCATCTGGTTGCTAAGCCGAAGCGACCCGAATCGCCTTGATAATGCTCTGAATCTCTCACACTACCCTTTCCCTCCACTGGATGTTGTAGCCCATGAAGCGAAACTAAGGCTCACGTCCTGACGTTCTGGGCACGCAGGCTGTAGTTCCGGGTTGATAACAATGACCTTGCATGCTCATGGAGTTGCTTCTGAGGGAGACTGTCGTGGTGATCCATAATTCAAGCCCGAGACGCTCGTTCCAGTCACCCCGCATGTCCTCACGATAACCTCGAAGAACTGCAGGAACATCTCATGAGACCATGTTCACCTAGCGCGCTCGCTGGCTCCAAACCCCACAATGGCTTTGTGGGTCGTGTTCCTGGCTGGTCTGGCTGCCGCCCAGCGTAGGTGCTCATTACCTACTTTCGGAATTTTTCGAGCAATTTCGGAAAATGTGTGGATTGCCATCTCCATTGTCGATTCCAACGCTTGTTTCAGAGCAGGCTGTTCCTTTCAGTTGATGGGGATCGTCGATCTGGTCAGGTCATCAGGTGTCACACGTGCGAAGCCGACTTTTCCAGCGAGAGGTGAGTCGGATCCGGGTATTTTTGAATTCTTGTGCGGCTCGATGATTCGAGTCGGAGCTGAGGAAAGGCGTCAAAGACTTTTCTGCTCCGTGCCAGGTATGACATAACCCACCCGTGTCTCGTCGGAGATCGCAGGGACAACAGTCGTGATCTTGCACAATGCAGCCGTAACTCTCGTTTCTGCAAGGTGAGGATGCACATCCCAAACTCTCAGAGTTGGGAAAGTGGAGAGTCGCTCGCGTTGTAGATCTCCTTTCGAGCGAATCATGAAGCCTGAGATTGAAAGATTTCTCGATTTTCCCGTTGCGAATTCCAGGCGGAGGTGACGCGACAGCATGGGCTCCTCGTTTCCTTCGGGCGCAGTTGCGCGGAGTACTGCGTGGAGAATTGCGTGACTAAAGGCTTTGGAATCGTGCGCGAAACTTGTATATACTGCTGCACGAACGATGCGTCCTGCAAGGAAACCGTCGGAGAGACAGCGGCGGCTCCGGTCAGATCTTCAAGGAGGAGAAACTCGACGTCTCAAGCACTGTCGTCGACAGCATACCCATCGCGTGAGCCCTTGACCTTGCAAAAACTTGCCCTTCTTGCAGCTACGATTCATATCTCCCATGGTGCGTTCTCATGGGTGTAGATAGCATCCGGTTATCTTGGAAAGCCCGCAGACCCTGACGAGAAGAAAGATCTCATTCGAGAGAGACCTCGATCGCTCCATATTATTGTGTAGGGTTCACTTCCTCAGGAATGATCAAAGCATATCGTATTCTATCAAAAAGTCATGCTCCCGTGCATACTGGTACATTCCGAGAGATTTCCCATCTGGAATGATTCGGTTGATATCCTCAAGTGGTTAATTTCCCAATAATTGGCTTCGTCACAAAAAAAGTCGACATGATGTAATGATAATATATACCGTAGTGCGTATTCGGCAAATATATCGCGTCCGATTTCGCGCATACGCCTCTAGTCATGATGGGTAGGCGATCGGGATCTTCGTCTGAAACACACTCCGAACGGCTCGCTCCGCTCACCGGAGTGTTCTTTGACCCCAATAAAGATCAATTAAGTGTTTTCCTCATGCTGAGATAAGGACGAATTTTTGGACTTCTCGCTTGCCGAACTCAAAGTGTCGGCTTTTTATAGGAAAATCATCATACGGCTCCGATTCAAATTATTCGATTGCTCTGGATATACGGACAGTCTTGTGTATGAAGCGGATATACACAAACCGCGTCAGCAGCGGCGGTAGCGTCAAGCCGTCTCGTATGGCACCCTCGGGAGCTTTTTGGCCTGTTGAATTATTGAAGCTAGGATCTCTCAGTGCCCTCCTCGGACCGCTCTGTGTCGACCCTCTTCTCCGTCCACGGAGCCAATCTCTGGGCCGTTTCTCGAGCAATTCCGGGTCTAACCCTCCACAACTCTTGCGGTCTCAGTGTCTCGGTCCCGTGACGACGAAGAAAGAAATGAGCCCAAAGCCAATTGTGGAGTCAGTTTTCGTGGAACCGTAGGACGACCGAGTGAGTTGAATGCAACTTGGGGATTCTACGCTTCCAGAAAGCGTCATTCGGGGTAATCTGAGAGCAGCTCGCTTTTGAGGCACGGAACACTCGACTCTCTCCCTGAAAATTGAACAACATATTCAATCTCCTTCGCTTCGTTTGATCTCGAAGGGGGGATCGATGGATACCGCGTGAAATAGAGGTTCGTGACCTTCCGAAGTTCGCTGCGTGCCGGCCGACTCTACCGTCACAAAAGGTCACAATCTGGGGACGAAAAATTCTACGAGTATAAGGCGGTAAGTTTGTCTTCCGTCAGAGGGGAAGCCAACGCTGACATACCCGACCGGATCAGACTTGAAATAAACCAACGCATCTCTAGCAAGCTCGTGAGTACTCCATGACAATCAGCGATGATTCGAGCTCAAGCTTCTTCGCTGTCATCACTGTCAAGGACGACGGGAATACGAAGCCGCACTCGCACTCGTTGCAGTTTCTCTCCGGGACCGTTTGTCGTGCTATCGAATGAATGATTATGAGTTGGACTTCTTATTTCCTTAGGCTCGTCGACTGATAGCTGTCACTGCGCAGAAGACAGAAGCGTTTCTGGCCTGTATCCTGTGGGCATGACGGAGCGGCCGCACTAAGTCAAGATGTCAGCGGTCACTCGGATGTCCATCACCGACCTCCGGTAGATAGTCGATGTCTCTTCGCTGCTTCCCTAGCCGGCTTAACGCTCAGTATACCGCTGACTACTTCAGATAAGAGCAATGACAACAGGAGATTTCTTGCTCCTCGCGGCTTGACCCACGGTGTCTGATACCGCCAGCAGGAAGATACTCCCCCAAGACGTCAGAGATAACACGTGAGCGGTGCCGCGACGAGCGCCCAGTTTCGCAAGCACGCTTGTCCTCTGGCATCTGAGCGTCAAGCTACTCGACGTGGCTCTCCTGTGGCCAACGATCCCTCCGAACAGGTCTCTCGCGCGCAGTTGTTGTCGCCGACTGCGTACAAAGCTGAAGCGGAGATAGCACACGAAGAGGTTCGCCCCGATTGGCTGATTGGCAGCTCTGTCCCTATCTCGGCCCCTTGCTGTTCATGAACAGTGTTCATTCACCCAGTGGAAGAAACTCGGGACCGGAACTCGAGCCAACGAGAATCGATGATCGACCTCGAGTCGCTCGACTCGAGACAATCTTTTGATTGCGTTGCTTATTATAGGAGAGTTCTCCGACTGCTCCGCTCGCTGTCACGCTCGCTCTTGGGAGAATCAAAGGAGGTGGTGAGGGCCTCCGAGAGAAAAATGGAAACGAAATGTCGACGACCGAGAGAGGCTTTCCTGACAGGGCAAAAGAGCAGCGAACCGATCGGGAACGAAGACGCGAACGACAAATCCACGGAATGAAATATCGGATCGGGAGCGGGGCACGTATTCGAGTGGAGTTGTTGCTTTTGCCGTTCGTGGAGGGATACCAATAATCAGCGACCAGCGAGGCAGTCAGCGAGCTGGAGAGGAGCACGTCTGGATTTCACGCAATCTTCCACAACGCGTACGTGACGGAGTGAGGTGTCTTCTGGGAAGTAGGTACTCGAGCTCGTATCTCAAAGCATGGACTTCATCACTTCCCGTACGGGGCGGAGATCATCCGAGAGACTTCCGAGGGCTCCTTAGGCCCAGGTTCCAACGGATGGAATTTCTCCCTCAAAAAATTCTTGCAGCCTCGTAAATCGATTTTCTGCCGTGGGAAATCCGAGGGGGCGGTTTGTTGGAAGGACATCGGACATCCGATTTCTCTCGTTCGATCTAAAAGGAGCTGTTCATGGCTCCAAGCGAAAATGAGAGCTTCGGGAGAATCTTCGGAAATTCTCTGAGGTGGTCCGAAACTTTTCCGCGGTATATATTCGGAGAGAACGACTGATGTGTTCCAAAGTTCCCAATTAGCAACCGATCGACTCCAGGACGCAATTTAATGACGTGAGAGGATGTTTTCTGCAATCCGAAGGGATCCATGCTAGGAGTGCGAGGCTGTGAGTCAACAGCCGACGAACTAGATTGCGGTCCGGTCAAACACCTTTGACGAGCCCCAAGGAATATTTCCGATTGCAGCCGGATTTATTTGCTTTTCCGTGGCAGGCTCGGTCTCTAGCTCGACTCGCTCATCCCTCCCAAAAAACCGAATACCCGGGCATGATCGCCCTCGGAGCGACGGTGGACTGAGAGAACGACGGCTCTTCCGTGAAACTTTTGGTCCCTACAATGCCTGAACAAATGTTGGCTCCCGTGAAGGCTCCTCCTTGCGTTTGATTCGATCCTTTCCTATAAGCAGCGTACTACCGATCGCTCTCAATAAGCGAAAGATGCGGAGCCTACTCATTGTAGTCGAGTTCTGGCTGGCGACCAGCGCAGCCCGGATCGTAGTCGATGACGACTCTGATGTTCAGAAATCTACAGTGCTGTACGACGGCAAGAGTCACGCTTCGGCTGACAAGAGTCCTCCGGCCAGCGCCAATCTCAACGATCTGATCGATGCTGAGAGTAGTGCCGAGGACAGTGACGACGATGGCGAAAGCGGCAGCCAGACCCCAACGACGGAACATGCAACACTTACACCGCCGACAACGTCGTCTGGAACCGCCGGAGCAACAACGTGGGCGACGTCCGATGAAACAACAGTCGAATCCGCGACAGCGATCGCGCTTGGATTTCGAAGCGTATCGACTGCGGAAGCAACCCGAGCGTGGTCTGAGGACGCTCCAACTTCTCCATCAAGTCCAAGTCATGTGAATTATACAGCATCTGGACTTTTGACGAGCCCCGGAACAGTTCCGTATTCGACCGGAGCCAACTCGGATTCTGAACACGGAGCGATCAGCACCGATAGCTTGATGGAAATGCACCCGGAAACACCCAATGAAGCTCCGACTCAAACGACGTTCGACGAGCATGAGCATTCTTCATCGACGACCTCATGGACTTCAGAGCCCACTACGGCGTCAAGCTCCGGAGAGCACACGCAGACCCCCGCTGGTCGCACCGTCTTCTCGACGCATTCGACTGCTAAGAATTTCGGGGGAAATCACGGAGTGGCCATTAGAAACTTCTTGCCGAGGCCGTCGACCACCAGAGCCCCCATGTCGCTAAGCCCCGAGGAAATCGTCGTGTATTTGCCCTTCAACAGGACCGATCAGACCCTGCACATTGACCATCGAAATGAAGGTCGACCTGTGGCGCCGTCTAGGGCTGTGATTGTGCTCCATTGTGTTCCCGCCTATGTTGTTTCGAGGAGACGATACGACGAATACCTTCAACGAGTCGCAGATTCGGCGGGCCTGAGCAGGAAAACTTTCAAGAATATCCGGAGGACATTCCGTAAATTCGCCAAGGATCGGGCTTCGATTCGCTCCGGCCCTTCGGGCGTTCAGGAAGCCGATCGACTGAAAACCTACCAAAACATCAAACAACACTCCTTATCGAGGTGTCAGCCGTGGGAGAGGGCGAACGTTGCTCAGTTTTTCCGAAAGTTGGAAGAAAATCACAATAACTCCCTGGAAATGACGCACGGAATCGCTGAAAAAACCCTCTCACCGCTCTCTCCCAGCACCCGTGAGCGTTTATTGGACTTTCTGAAGGCCAAGCGAATTCTCACCGTGGATGGGACGATCGCAAACCGGCAAGAGTGGCCACAGGTCAAAACGGAAGCTTTCTCGAAAATTATACCGACAAACGAAACTACGGGTGCGGAAGTCTTCTTCAAACGCTTAGAGTCCCGACGACAAAACTCCCGACAGCTCATCTGTAGGGCGGCTACTGGGAAATTCGCCATTCAAAGTTCGAGACAAAGAATTCATAGTGGTCTAGTCCAGTTATACAGGAAAACAAATTTGCCGAGCTCGAATTTCGAAACTTTCATCCGTCTTTGCGGAGCCAAGGCACCAGAATATCAAAACATAGTCGAGGAGGACACCGATGTGGTCAATAGAACGATTGAGCTCATAGATCTCTACCACAACATAAAATATCGAACCTGGAGAAGCGCTCCGAACAGGGAACGTAACGCCCTGCTGCAGTATTTCGCTGATGTCGAAAAATACGTAATCACCTCGTACGGGTCATGGCTGCTAGGCAACGCCCAGAACACCGCAAGCCTAAAATGGTGGCTTTATCGAAGCGCTTTCGATCTCATGGAGCTCGCGGAACCCACGTTCAACAGCACTGAGCGTCCGCTGATGAGTCGGCTGCTCGTAACGGAAAATTGCGGCCTGAAAATGACAAGAATGGGGATGGGCAGCGCGGAACTCAGGAAAGATATGATTTCCTTCAGTTCATATTGGAACAAAGTGGTGTCTGCGATTTCCGGAACCTTCGAGTACAGGGCAGACATTCCTGTATTAACGAGGAGACTCCAAAGAATGGTGTTCTTCCAGAACAATTTCAAAAACTTCCTAAGTTGATCAATAAGAATCTGACGAATACAGAAGAAGAATAATCGCTTCGTGCAGTGCTTTTATGCAGCCCTTTTTCCCGCACGTGATCAGGAAGGCTGCGCGGGGACGCATAGTCCAGAGGAACGAACGGTCAGAGTACTCACAGAGGTTCATCCGGATGAAGCCATCAATCAGTGAATGAGACGTTCCTTGCAGCGCGAGCTGGAAACGCCGCTTCCTCCCTCTGTAGCTCCGCACGGCTCTGCCATGCTCGAGGTCTGCCTCAAGTCGAATAGAGCAAGATATCGATGGCGATTTGGAGCAAGACCAGCCTCGCTCTCTCAAGCAATAGCAAAGCAATGTAGGCTTGAATCTAATCCGTTTTTTCCGAAAGTATAGCCGCTCGACGACGAGCATCTGGGAACATAACTCGGAGTTCCCACCCTTGAAGCGACCGATGCCAAGCTTCCGATCTGGAGCTCGCATCAGCGGGTATAGTCCTCGATTCGAAGGCGGAGGCGTGGTCCGAATCAATGGCAAAGCTTCACACCGCAAAGATGAGCTTGAGGGACCGATCATCCATTCGCGCAAGCTTGAAGTCGATCGATGGGGAGAGCAGCTAATTCAGCATGCTCGGGGCTCGTCCTCCGGATGCATTGGAGAATCCAGGGCTCACTCAAGTTTTTACTCTCCCTCGCATTTTTCAAAGCTGCTTCTCGAGGAAACTTGACGGCTGTACATATGGGACAAGCTTGTCTCTCGCTCCTCTCGGGGACACCCCTTTCGAAGCAAGCAATTCACGTCCTACTTACCCACATTCGAACTTGGAAGACGACTTCGCGACGTGAGCCGGAGCACTTTTCGACTTCAGCTCGAAAAATACCCCTCACCGACATCTCGCCTCACCACGCAATCTGAAGCTTGCCTTGTCTCACTCGACTCTCGCGGGGGAGACGAGAAAAACTTGAATTCACAGTCATCTCGAGCCGTCTTCTCCGAAGTCTCAGATTTCCATCACATCGCTTTCCGCTATAGAGTGACGATGAGGGAAACCTCTACCGTGAATGAGATTCGGAAATGTCGGAGTTCTCTACAATTTCGCCACAGAGAGCTCGAGGAATCTGTCGAGCTGCAGAACGCAGGATCAGACTTTGTTTCAAGTCAAGAACGATCTATAAAACTCCGACCTGAGCGCTCCGCTGCCCCACGGTTCAATGCGCGCGTCATTCCTCGTTTCCGCTAAAAATTTCTAGCTCGATCCGAAACTCGGAAGGGACACAATAGTCTGTCGGTCGAAACCCGCCACAGAATTGGCGTGCCGGGAAGGAAAAGACTCATGATGCGGTCGACTGAGACCCTACACGTCGGGCTCATATTATGTCCGCATTATCTCATGTAGGAACGATTTCCTTGCTACAAGATTGCAGCAGCGGAAGGCGCGGCCAGATTACGAACGTGAGCTGATTCGAACGCTATGCTCTGATGCACCGAGTTCATGGGGAGCAAAGAAGTGTTGGTCATTTGGGAGAAAGCTCAAACGGGGAGCCATCACTCCGCTCCCTGCAGGGAGATCAACATGGTGGCGCGGCGTCAGTTTCCTGATGGATACTTCATCTCGGCTAGCTCAATCTCGCACCTCCGTAATCGAAGAACTTCTCTGACGTTCTGTTAAAATAATCACCAAGCCAAACCTATCAATCAAATGAGCAGCCTGCCAGGTTCCCTGTCTACCCGAAACCCGCCGTATTCCCGTGGGGCGTCAAGCTAAATAACAAACACCGCAGCCCACCGAGCAGCTCTTGACGCAAGCCACAACGCCAGGTCGGAGCGTATTGACTCGCGAGCTCCCGTGTATTCCTTGTAATTTTATTCACTCGCGTTGAACCGTAATCGGGATCACTGCAGGAATCGGCGCCGATGACCTCCTGGTAATTCAATGAATCAAAGCGAACTCAAAAGGGAACTCAAAAGGGAACGCTATACCGAAGTTTGCTCGCTCTAAAAGGGCGCCCGTCGAGTATCGGAAATTCTCCGAATCTCGACAGTCTTCCGATGGTATTGAAAGGGAGAGGAAAAGAAACGGAACGAGAATCCGCTCGAGGACACTCAGGATCGCCAGAAGCGCCCCGCTCGCCTAGAACCGTGTACGCTGAAGATCTGAGCGGAGATATTTCCTCGCGCCCGCAGAGGCCTTCCCGCTTTCGGGGTCGGCAAGTCGGATCGGGTTCCCTAATGAGTGCGCATGCAAGCCTCGGAAGGATTCGATGTCGCACTGCATTTACAAGTTGGCCTCGATACAGGCTAGAGTTCGCGGGCGGGAGTCCTCGGAGGACGGATAGACTCGGTGGGATGGATAAGGGCAGAAGCGCCGGGCTGTTGGTGACAAAGTTAGGCTCTGCGGGGTCGCTCAGGTGGGCTAGCGACACGGCTCCACCTTGTGTTCTCCCTGGACCACCAGGCGCATACATATTCTGAATTGCATGAGGACGCCGCTGGGAAAACACCGCAAATTGATTAAAAACTCCCCCAGAGTCGTCATCGCGTCTACTACACTCCGTGAGTCATCGCTTCAGCTGTTGGCCATGGATATGAAGTTTCGAATACGCAGTCGGAATTTATCGCTCGCCGAGGCGTAAACATAAAGTATGGAAGCTCGGAGCGCCCAGAGAATTCTGCGGCGGGCCGCAGCATAACGGAGTTGAATAGTCTTGCGTAACCTTTCATGGAATGGATAGCGTTGCTCGGTCTCAAGATAAAGGTGTCGAGACCGGAATCCGAACCCAGGAACCAATTCAAGCTCCTCGCTCGGGAGAAACTCCGATCGATCACCGCTGTCTCTGTCCCCGGCCAGCACAAGCCCTCCTCGAGTGGACGCTCATCCTCCTCAAATCTGAAACTTGACGAGCTGAGATAGAGGAGGGGGAGAAGAAGAACACCACTCAGTTTTTGAGGGAAGCCATCGAGATGACGTGAGTGAGAGAACGTGTCGTGAACACTCCTTACTCAGAATGCGACCGAGCTCGTCTATCGAAGCCTACTTATCGAAGCGGTTCGAGGCCTGTTCTCAAACCGATACGACAAGTGATGTCTGGCCCTGGCTACGCCTTGCGTGTCCCGAGTGACGACCGCGTGCGGACAGACTGCCTGCTTGAAGACGGAAGAGGCAACGCGCCCCCCTTTCCCCCATCTGTGAGCTTGCGTCCGTGTATCCTCTGTCGATTTTGGACTACAAGACCCTTCTGGATCCGTTTTTGGTTTTCCTCCGACGCCGCTTGCCATGAACCTGATTTCCTCCGATACATCGCGAGCTGCGGCGGCGGGAACATCTCAAGCCAGGAACGACCCTCGAGAAAAACGAACAGACGATAAAACTACGGCAACGAGAGGAGCGAGGAAGGGGGAACTAGCTCAGCTCACCACCAAGTGAGGCAGGGGCAGAACTTGAAACGGCAGAAATGATGAGACGAACAAAAAGTTTCGAAAGTCTGCTCCAGGTGACGATAATGCAGCGACGGCGTTTGATGATTAGGCCTAACGATATTTTAATTATGGTGTTCCACTGGCGAGGTCAAAGTCGAGAGATAAGCGGCTGGGAGCAACGAATGAACGAGCCACGTGTACCTCCGGGATAGAGCCCTGCCGCCCGGGGGCAAGCAATTAGAGCGAGGGATTTCGTCCAGCGCTTAATAGCAAAAGTTTGGGACGAAAATTAATAGCGAAAATGTCCAACATCGATCGGAGCAGTTATCGATCAGGAGAGCGGCTAATTTTCAATACCTCCACAGCCTGCGAAAGTGGCGAGCTCCCCCAACGATCCCATCCCCTCCTTCCTCCCCTCGGATAAAATCGCCATGGCTCCTCGCTCCCTCGAGTTTCTGAAAATGTTGGCCAATTATTATCAATGTACATGGGGAGCCAGAATTATGAACTCAATCAATATCGAGTGGATTCAGATGTCCCGAATCCGCAGGTTCAGATCACCGATTCAGGACGAGCGATGCAATAATTCCAGAGGCGAAAATGGAGTACGAACACGTGTCAGCGCCAGATGAGAGAAATCGATGCCTGATCAGAACGGAGCAGCTCGATGTGGAAAGCGTGGCCTCTGATAAAGCTCATTGAGAAGGGATTCCGAGAGGATTTCAGATGAATGGATGATATACAGACGTAATGGGACGACTTGAGCGGGGAAGAATCAACAAAGCGTTCAGGAGATCCGAGAAGTGTTGAAGATTGATGGAGAAGTTTCGCGAGGCGCAGGCACCGGATAGGATTTCATTTTTAGTCGTGTCCTGTGACCATTAGAAGGGCGACTCGCTTTTCAATGAAGTTCTTATGGAAATTCGAGAAGGATCAGAACTTTTGGACAGTGGGAGAGGAGAGGGATGAAGGATTCCACGTTCGTTAATGAAGTAGCTCCAAGGAGAATCATCCGATGGTCCACTGAGCGTCCAGTCGCCCGACCGTTCGCCAATGTCGCGGAAGTTTCGGGGATGATGCTTTCTTTCTTTCAACGTTTCTTGCGACCTCTCCAGAGAGAAACTTCCGATCTCGGCTCGTATCTCGAACACGAGACCCTCCGAGAAAAACCGAAATTCCGGGACACGAACAACGCCAGATGCAGTTTTTATTTCCCCGGAGCCTGACTCGCAGATCGGGCGTATGATGCACCTGACGCTCCGCTAGAGATGAGCATAAGCGATACGTCATATCTGAGTTTCCGTAAGGAATCCCCCTCATCAGACCTGAGGACTGAATCTTCATAGCGCTGGAGGAAACTAAAAATGTACACTCAATTTATTCATCACGTCTTTTTACATTGTCGGACATCCCCCGACGTCAGCTTCCAAACCTTCGCAAAAGAGATAATCCTCCTCCCGTGTCAGAACTCCGGTTCGAGATCAGGTCAACACTGAGTCGTCTGACTGACTGACACCTCTCAGGTCGGGGAAGAATCAGATCAGAGACAAATTCGGGCTCCGATCGGTCGCTTCGGATCGTTCAAGGTTTCCTGAGCTCGAACGTGCGTCCGTCTCCCGTTAGTTCACGATCGTCCACCTCGTAGGTTGCCGACAGTCTGTTTCCCCATCGGCGCAGAGTCGGTTGAAAGTCGTATCAGGAGCTCGACCCAGGATCTCTCGTTCCTCTTGAATTCGGAACGAAAATGTCGACTCGAACGATCCCACGAACATCTCGGCTTTCGAGCAGATGATCTGATCGACTATCGCGATTTGGCCTTCAGTTAGCGAGGGCGGACGAGGCCGATGAGATTCGCCTGGAAAGGTCAGAATTCAGAATTTTACTATTCGCAAGGAAATATATGAGGACAGACGCGGATCTCCTTTTCTATTGAATCGAAACGGTCTCCTGGGAATAAGCATTGGGTCCGGCTTCCGGAACAAGCGATCGATGGTAGACTGACCTTCGATTGAATCCGCATGCTCTCCTGGTGTACACGTATCCCCTGCGCAAGCCATGCCCAATTCCGTGCTGTCCGAGCAGTCACAGGTCTTGGGGGATTCGGTGGTGCCTTTGTCGACAGCTTTCACGTTCGATTTCCCTGTTAGTTGAGGCTCACTCCGATGTTGGGCAACGGAGGGACAGCTATTGTCGGTGCACGGTTGATCCAGAGAACGACTGTCTGGGCATTTGGGTTCGAACTTGACTTTCGATTGGGCCTTCACACCTTTTTCCTGATCTTCATTTTCACACTTCTCATGACTAGTTTTGAGCAGATTCTGCTCTGCCGCGATCGACTCGAAATTAGCGCTGGATCCATCGGGACAGGAGCTTTGGAAGAGCGAGGGCTTGCCGACGGAGAGTTCGGGCTTCCCGCAACTTTCCGGGAACTCGCGCGACTCCGATAAGGTTCGCTCCTGTTCCTCGTTGGGACAACTCCCACCTCCAGGGAGAATTTTCTCTTCCATAGAGAGCTCTTTGAGAACGGGATCTTCTTCGACTGACCCACAGTGTCCGTTCAGCGGTCGGCAGGGTTTGTCCAGATCGCCTCGGTTCCCAGAGCATTGTTTGGAGACGACACCTGGCACAGCGACGCCCTTCATAGTATCGGGGCTATCGCAGAGATCCCGACTCGAATTTTCGATGAGATTCTGAGAGTTTTCGAATCTGACCGTAGATCGGTGGTAAACGAGAGTCTCCGGAACGAGTCGAAGGAACTGTTCGACCTCCTTATCGTCACCGTCGGTGGCTAAGAAAACGTTCTTCAAGCCACGATCTCGCATAATTTTCTTCACTTGTTCAGCGGCGCCGCGTATGCTCGGAACGTCGTTCGGCCTGACAATAGGGAAGTCAGAACGTCGCAGATGCACAGCGAGGAACTTTTCGTTCCCAAATCGAGTTTTGATGAAGTACTCCGCTTCGTTCCGCAATTTCTTCGCGAAGACCATGGATTTCCTCAATTTCCAGTATTCTTCGTCGCCAAAACCGTCGTGTAGGACAACCTCGGCATGGTCAATCATCACTGCCGAGTCGTGGGTGAAAAGAGGAGCTAGAGCAGAGCTCACCCCAGTGATTTCCAGACAAGTGACTTTGCGAGCCTTGATCTTCTCCTCATTGAAGAAGTAGCCCTCGTATAATCCATTCTCGAGTCTGTATCCTATGTTTCGGCCGCATTCCACAGAACGAAAGGCGTCGTCGATGTTGTTCGTCAGAGGAGCGTGCTTCAGAACGTAGACATTGTCGATGAGCACATCGCCGACAAAATGATCCATGAAATCTCTGAATTCTATCACTTTCGTGTAGTTGTTGAGGCTTTCGATGTCAAAGAAATTCTGCCACATTAGGCCCGATGGGCCTTTCCAATGGGGAAGAGGACCCCACGGAGGCAGAACCAGCGTGTAACCCACATCCTTGGCGAATCTCGCGACCCGGAGGTAGACATCTCGTCGAAGGTTGAAACCCTCGTTCGGACTCACGTCGTAGAGCAGATATTTTTCATCGGCGGACACCTGGCTCGATGACAGACTGATTACCACAAAACAGCAGATACTCAGCGCCCGAATTGAGACCACCATTACTGAGTTGGGATCTTCTTAGATTTCATACAGAACTCCCTTGTGTTCTCGAATTTTCGAGGGTTGTACTTTCGGCAGATCGACGGCACTAACCCAGATCGATGGCTCACGTCATTCCGCACCATCCACCCTCTCGATGGCTGATGATAGTGTCCCTCGAAATCTCAAAGAGTCTCCAAATATGCGCTTTCAAAGACTGTTCGATTCGGCGCCGCACGAAACAGCTGATGTTTTGATGACGTTGTCGAGACACAGCAGACCACCGCCGCAGCTTGGCGGCCTTATGAAAACAGGCACAGCTACAGGAAGGCATGAATCAGATTCGGCTTGTACGCTTCGGCGAGCTCATATATGGTCGTACGTATGCTCAGGCTGTGCCGATTGTTAGAATCGCAAATCCATGGTGAGCACGCAACAGTAGACCGCAGGGTGGAATCGCGCAAGGAAGGAAGGAATCGCGTCGAGGAGAGACTCTGAACGTGGACAATGATATTGTTCAATGTTCGACCGGAAACGGGCAGTGCCCCTCGATTCTAAGATGAAGCGGCGCCAGGTCACGCGGGATCACGGCCGTCCGTGTCGGATCACGCTTGAACCGGTATCACACCCGCAGTGTTGAATCAATCGAAAAATGGGACTAAGGAACCGCCCGGTTCCAGCCAGACATAGAGCGAAGATCATCGACATCATTGTATACACTCTCCCCGCGACAGATTGCAGTGCGGCCCGCGTTCTCTCCGGACGCACAGACATACGCACAATTGTTCGCTATCTCAAGCGTACGAAAATACGCAAGACGAAGCGATTCAGCTGAATTTCATGTCTTTCTCTCATGTCGTCAATACTCAGGTTGTGGAACTCATTCGCGGTCCGCAGTCGTAATCTTAATACCCAGCAACCTAGCCGTCACACCAGTCCGGTTTGGAGCATCAGAAGGATCCCCTCCGGGACAGAAATGCGGTAAGCTCGGAACAACGTGTTCATAGAGGAATTCAGGAGCCGAGAGATATTCTGCAATAGTCGTCATGGGGTCCGCTCCATAATCCGCGACGCGGTAAAAAAACGAGGCCTGAATTTCCGCGCTGCAATCCGGCGATCAAATCCACGATCCCCTGCTTCAGTGTCTTTCGTGCTTCCTCTTAATGTTGTCACTGATTTCCTCAATATGTTGCGTCTTTATATCTTCCTTTATTGATCCTCTCAGACCAGCGATGCATCTCTCGACATCCGAGTTGGCGAACGTCGTACTCTCACCATCGATAAGCCGGAGACGTTCCTTTCCGACCGATGAAGTTCACGCCCGGGATGAGGAGAAGCACAAATACAAATGTGAGAAGAGAAAGATATCTCAATGAAATTCTCCTGAATCTTACATCAGTGGTAGTTCACCTAGCCCTCCTTATAGAACTCCTCTTACGCATTCCAAGGCGCCGGAGATTCATGTGGCATCTTATATTCCAGGAAAAAGGACTCCCATGGCCGGTGGCGTCGGGTGGTCCAGGAGGAGCTATACGACGCCTAGCTAAAATTGAACGTGCGGGAACGGAAAATTCTGAGGCGAGGGCGTCATACGGAACGTCGGCATCTCGTTCTGGTGCAGGCTCCGGGTTTAGAACAAACATCTGATTCTACCGCGCGATCATTCCAATCTCTCCAGAGTGACAGAGCCAGTATACGAGGAGCTTGACTAACCAGTTGCGCCCCAGCACATGAATTCTTGAAGCAGAGAGTCGCGAGAGGATGATTTTTCCCATATTCCACTGCATGGAATTCTTATGATGAACGAGGTATGGGTCCGATCTCCGGCTGCTGTCGCAAGTCGCCCGGGAAGCTCTCGAGAGGCGGGAGCCGGATTGGATGGAAGGAAGTTCGGCGGGATTGCGGGTCATATGCATTGTCCATTGGATACAAGCGCACCGGCTGAATACGTTGAAGAGAGCAGATACTACAAAGTTAGGGAGCGTATCATATCGAGGCGCAAACTCGCGAGTCCGATGGACCAGAATTCGTTCACATCAGAAAGCGTTCTCATCATCAGTCTTTCCTCGTTCTCTTCCCGCAAAACGCGTGATCGTCCATTCGAGACCCGTGCAAGAGGGTCGTTGCTCATCGCACGAGGGTACCTGTGAGAAAAGAGCTGGGAATCGACTGCTCAAGGCACCGTCAGCCAGATTTCGAAGAAGCCGCTGCCCTGAATAGCAGCATTCCTACAAAATGATGGCATATCCCAGGATCTGGGTTTCCCTGAGGAGCGGATGGGTGGGGCAGAGCGCTAATCACGGCGGCGGTTCGTCACTGATAGAGACGCCCCGACTATCTCCTCAAGAGGATACGGTGCCGGCACTGTGATACTTGAAAGAGGGAGAGCTCGATGGTTCCCACGACTCAGTGCAGTTGAGAGCCGTTGGGGAGGCGATCCGACGCGCACCGTCAGCCTGTTTCCCAGCTAGATTCGACCTCGGAATGAGTCGCCCGCTCCGGCTAGATTCCCAGAAAAGATCATCGGCATCATTTTCCTCGCTCCCCCTACCGGATCGGTTCGATATCCCTTTGATTTTTCCCCTTGCTCGCCATTAAACGGATGCCTCCCCGACCCAACATAAGCGGCATTGCTCGTCATCTTTCGATACGGCTCCCGGAAATTAGCCGAGCGACCTCTCGATTCCATATCCATGCTGATCAGCGATAACTTTTCCAGAGGAGAGAGAGTGAGAGCTTCTTGTTGTGGATACGACGCCATAGAAACGAAACGAAAGCGGCGTCTGCTATGAGCTGCTGCTATCACTACCGCCTCCTCGGTCGCCTGGTTGCAGCGCTCGGTTGTCAGCCAGCGGCGGACGTCCACCGGCCTTGGAAACAGTTACCTTGGTGAGCAAAACTCAGAACAGTGGCGCGATGTGCAAGTCAGCTGTGGTGCCAATCGAAAACGCGACCGATCCTCAACCCAAAACTCTGGTGTCTTTCCCCGCGGGCCCGCCGTAGCCGACAATGTCTCCATAGACACTGACCGGGCCCTTCCGCTCGCTCACTCACTCACTCACTCACTACTAGCTCACTCATGAGTCCGACTACATGTAGCTATACTTTGCGCGGCATACGTTCTTGGAGTTGCGCGATTGGAAAAAACTCCGCGCCCGAATATCCTGCTCCTCCGATGAGCAAGTCAGAGCAACTCAGTGCCATGTCAGACCAACGTTCGAACGATGGGCTCATTCTCCTGTTTGACCGAATATGGTGATGGACACTTCGACGCGATCTTCCAGAGCTGTCAGAAAGTCTGCTCGGATTCCGGGCTTCAGCCCGTCGGCAAATATCTCATCGAACTCGATTCATGTATGTTGCCGAGCATCCGAATGAGTTCGATTTGGTAGCTTCAGCCATCCGTCTGAATTTCATGCGACACTCTCACTAGGGTCGTGGAATTATTCGCCGTGAGAAATCTCCTGCCCGATTTCGGAAGCCTCCACCGGCATCCGAAGAGACTCATCTGTCTTTCTACGGATTCAGGTGTGAGAATCGCGGTCCCTCTCGTCTGCCGCATAATCGGCGATCTTCCGCCCCGATCTGGCGACCTGGGCATGGATCGTACCCTACTCGGATCGGCGCAGAATTCGGCACAGAGGATCTTTAGGTCTCCCTGTCGCCTGATACCGTCTCGATCGGGCTTCCGTTCTTAAAGATTAATCTGGAGTTGGTTTTTCGATTTCGATTGAGTATGGCTCGCAGACTTCGCCTTTTAAGTGTCCGTCTGCTGCGTCATGACTGCCGAAAAAACGAGCGAATCGTGATGCTCTTCGTAAATTACGAACCGCAGTCCCCCGCGAAGGCCCAACGCTCTGAGCTGAATTTTGAAACCCAAGCTTTCTGATGACCGTATTTTTCTAGTAGAATTGAGACCGCGGGCTCGTACGGGTGTCCGATTCGAAACGAAAGCGGCACTATGGCGTTCTGCCAGAAGTTTTTCAACTGTCGCTTTCTCATGATGAGGTTAAGCGGAGGCCCCCTCAGATTCTATGCTGGAACATTTTGCTGTATCCCCCGTCCTGTACCACGCACGCGCGTACTCCGTGTCTCATATAACGGTTTTCTCTCGGCTCGTTGCTTTCATCTGCTCTTCGGTGCAGATGCTTTTCCTTTTCAATGCTCTCATTAAAAAGCTTTCTCTCGGTGCCGCGAGCGTGACGCTCGAGGGACTCTCGCGAGCCGGAACACTCACGGTCGGAGCCGTGGGCGACGTCACGAGAATTTTTTTCCGCTCAGGTTGAGTTTCCCGGCGCTCAGTGGATTCCTCTTCTGAATTCATGGACCTATGCGAACGTAGTTCCTGTGGGTACAGGCGGGACATCAGGCTCACGCGTGGGCGACTGACAACCACTGAAATCCGCCATATCGGGTCGGAATCGGAGCTGAACCATTGGTGTTCGTCTTCTGCTCGAATATCGAGCGCTGTTTCATTCGAGCGGGTTTCGCCGATCGATGATTTCGCTCGGGGAAATCGAGCCCTCGCCTCGAATGCGCTGAATGTCACGAACAGATCGAGGGGACCTCGCTCGTGACACGAGGCGCTAGTTTCGGTGAGGACAGGGAGGAATTATTCGACCAAGAAGTCGGATGGACTGTCTGTATGATGGTTCCATCTAGTTTTACGCTCGATGTTTCGCCCTGCTATTTTCGCTCGCGAGCCGCTGTCTTGTATTGTATGGAACTGTCGACACTTTGCCGCTGAAACCGCGAAGTCGTCGAGACGAACCAGAATTCGTATCGAATCGTGTGGTTATAGTCCATTTTGCTCCTCCCGGCTCACTCGAGCCCATGCTGTCGTAATCGCAACGGAAATGGTAAAAAACGATGCCAGATTATTCAACACGGTTCGTGGAACACTGATCGATCCCAGAGATGGCTGAAATGATTCAGGCACGACTCCCTTCTCGATTCGTGTTCGTCTGTATCGACCCGAGCAGTCCGACTCTCGGGACTAGTGCTTCACAGGAAGACTGGGGAACTGAAATACCTTGCTGTTGTGTTCGCCTTGTTCTCACTCGCGCACGCTACCCGAAAATGCGCTTGCTCGCCGCATGCCGATACTACTGGGAGAGTGGCCATGCGCGTGGATTTGTCAGGGGTGACACGTTTAGACGATTTGTCCAAGAACAAAATCCGTAGACCAGCAATTGTAGGTCTCATTCGCTTCAAGAGTCGATTTACCGAATTCCGAGCTGGAGCCAGAGCGAATTTCGATGCATAAATTCGAGCAGCCGAACGGATACATCTGATGGGCAGGACGGACCCCGTTTTGTCTGAATCCAGAGAGTCAAATGTGGTTATTACGACTTTCGGAGGTCGCATGGGCGTTCCCGATTGAGTGTCCGGCGTTCAGCCCTTCTACGAGAGACCACCGTAGTCCACCGAGATAATTTCGCGAGCGACACGACGAAAAACATGCGAGGCCACAGAAGTGCTCTCATGTGATTGGGTGAATCACCATGAGGGCGCCAATCATACGCACACATTTAATTACGTAGATTGATATCGACCAGTGAGCTCATGCGCGATACCGCCGAACGGTGGTGAATGTCAATGATCGAGAGAGTCCGCCCTATCTAGAACCAATCTCGTCGAGATTCGGCAACCCCTCCCCTTCACGAATCAACACGAAGAATATTGATCAAGAAATTCCCTTTCGACTTGCAGGCGCCGGTAAGATGAATGGGACCGCTGGGATCACTCCGGACTCCGAAACGTCACAAACTGTTCAGATAACAACGGATGAACAGGGGAACTCGACGTATTATCTCCAATCTGCACAAGCCGTCCCCACCCAAGCGTTCGTATATTGTACGACAAACCCTGTCCCGGCCTCAGGTGGAAATGCCGACACCGTGTATACTTCCGCTGGCGGGACGACATTTTACGCGACGACGACCGAGGGACAAACGGTCGCGTTCAGCGGAACGCCGACGGACATAAGCGATGTCGAGACGAGACCCATGTCCGTAGACGATGAAACGTCAAGGGGTCCCGACGAAACGCAGGCGACGTCGCTCCGCGACATGGATATCGTCCACGTTCGATGGTTGATAGACAACTACGAGACAGCGGAAGGAGTTTCGCTCCCGCGGTCCACGCTCTACAACCACTATCTGCGTCACTGCTCCGAGAACAATCTCGATCCAGTGAATGCGGCGAGTTTTGGTAAACTCATCCGGAGCGTATTCCTCGGTCTGCGTACCCGGCGTCTGGGGACCAGAGGGAATTCTAAGTATCATTATTATGGTATCAGAGTGAAGCCAAGTTCTCCGCTTGCGGGTCTTCCGGTCGAGGATTCGGACTCGAACCCACCGCCGGTCATCGTGAGGCCGAAGCCCGTCACCGTGAAGCGATGCTTGGGAATTTCATCGGACGTTTCTCCCGATGTCAAGCCCAAAGTCGATGACATGAACGAGGCGAACCTCGCCGAGGTGAGCCTCGCAGGCAGCAAGGGCTTCCTCGGAGACCCCTCGCAGGCGTTGCCTTCTCAGTTGATGATGGTTCTCATGTCGGGCGAGGGCGAGTTCATCGACGAGAAGGAAGCGTACAATTTCACTCTGAACTATCGCGAATATTGTGAATCTCTCCTGGACGTGATCGTGAATCTCCAGTTCCAGAAGGTGTCCCCCCTCTGGCAGCAGTTCTTCATCACATCCCCCAGTACGCCCGAGGAGGAGAAAAAACGCGACCACCTCCACCGGGTGCTCACGTCTCCCAGCGTGGTGACCTTCATCCGGACTACAGATACTCAATTCTATCACAATCTCGTCCACGTTCTCATCCCGGACGTTCTCCGGCCGGTGCCTGCGGCGCTCACGCAGGCAATCAGGAACTTCGCCAAAAACGTCGAGCAGTGGATGAGCAGCGCCATGCAGAAATGTCCGGAAGAAGCCAAGAAACTCAAACTTTCGTTAATTAACTCATTCGCCCAAACTCTGAGACGCTACACCTCACTGAATCACCTCGCACAAGCGGCCCGTGCGGTCCTGCAAAACTCTGCCCAAATTCAACAGATGCTGCTCGATTTGAACAAAGTCGACTTCCGGAACGTCCAAGATCAGGCCTCATGGGTCTGCGAATGCGATCCGGGTCTCGTTAGAGTTCTGGAACAAGACTTTAAGCGCCAACTCGAGAGTCAGGCTAGTCTAAGCGATTGGGCTCGCTGGTTGGAACAGGTTGTCGACAAAGTTCTCGAGAACACGCTGGATATTGTGAAATCGTCACGTCGCTTCCTATTGACCTGGTCGTTTTACTCGTCGATGATCATTAGGGACCTCACATTACGATCTGCGTCTTCATTCGGATCTTTCCACTTGATTAGATTACTGTCGGACGAATACATGTTCTACCTCGTTGAGCAGAAGGTGGCCCAAGCCCTGGAGAAAGTCCCAATTTCGCTGAACGAAGACCTGAGCCAAGGCGACATCAGTCTTTTCGAGACAGGATACGAAGTTGTTCTGCCGGACGGGTGTGATGTAAAGGACGTTCCCGGTTAACGATGCGATATTTTGTGGAATCGAAACGAAGAGAACATTTATAAGCGTATACATCAGATTAGTCTGCGAGCAGAGGGTGTATATTTCATAAATATTGCGTACTGAACTATTCCATCACAAAGCACCCAAACCCACCGTCATATTATCACCTCATCTCTTCCGGGATGTTACCTTCAATTTCGGAGTGACGAACAAAATAAGTGAGGAACTGCGAAGAGATCGCAGAGGATCTCAATAGATAAATTATCGTAAGGCGGTGCTGTTATTTTTGACTGGATCAGCTCCCGAGCTGTCGGAAGAGGTGGTTCGAATCCAGATATATACCGACAGATATACACCACATATGTATACATATAGGATGATTTCCTTTATTTCTAGATCTTAGCAGAGAGGAACAAGTACTAAAAACACTGAATTGACTGAAGTTCAAGACGTAACGTCAGGGTTGTTCGCACGTGCCTTCATATCTTTGGTAAATTCACATTAAAACGCAATAAAATTGATGCTATGCTGATGACAGCCCCATCAGTCTCGGTCTGGGTGTCTGGATTCTGGGTTCTATATTCCTCGCGGGGGACCGAACTCAGGAGCTCAGCACTCCGAAGGAGGGACCGGCGGTGACGGACACCCTGTGGAGAGCTTTTCGCCGCATCTCCTCGGGCATCCCAATGAGATCGAACCTCCTGTTGGAGATTTCGATGACGGGATCGTACCGCTGTTTTACGCGTGTGACGCCGGAAGGCTATGAGTTGGAGGCCGTTGTGAGGAAAACTCAGACAGCTTAGTCGGGCCAATGAGAAATCGGGCGCCGTCGCCGTGCATCCCTCCCTTCCTCCGCGGCCTGATGCTGTCAAGCCCGGAAGGAGCGACTCAAAGTGGATGCTCTGAGCTTCGGACTGCCGGTCCTGAGGTCAGAATCTCTCATAGAATGCGCCCCAAATCTGGTTGATGATCGATTCTCACAATCAGCCTTGTGATTTCCCCAAAAGAGCGGGAAGAGGAGTATCCTGGTGCAATCTGTGCGAATACAACACTCAGCTGCCTTGATCCCCAGACAGGAGATTCGCTTCAGTGGCAGAGGAATGAAGAATCCCGACGATTGTCTTAAAAATATTTCGTAATTTATGCTCCCATCCATTTTACATTCGTGAGCTGAAACCGGTTGATGAAGATATTTTGAAAGTAATCCAACTGCTGATGAGGGGAGGAGTGTCTCACCGTTCCTCGAGATCATCATCACAAAATACATGGGTCGTATGCGTCCCGCCACTTTTTCAGAGCTGGATATGAATGTTCTCGAGCGTCAAACTCCACAATTTTAATGTAACTAAGTGACTGGATCTGGAATTGAGCCCTTGACGGAGCTCTGGGTCGTATCCGTGGCGGAAACTCCGACTTCCGACACATTGACCGAGAGATCAAGTTTCACAATCAATTTCGCAAACCCTATAAAGGTACAAAGGCTGCCTGCATGCCCCATGAATGAGCGGCTTCTGCCCATAGCCTGTTTTTTTCGGCGTGTTTGTTCTTGTGGCGGTCGAGATTAGCTTTCTGAGAGAATCTGAATCCGCATTCGTCACAGGTGTATTCTCTCTCTCCGGTGTGGGTCCTCATATGAACCATGAGCTGAGATTTCTGGGTGAATCCTTTGGTGCATTCGTCGCATGTGTAGGGTTTGACTCTGGTGTGAGTCCTAGCATGATTTCTCAGAGCAGAGAGTGTAGCCAGACTCTTCCCGCATTCTTCACAGGGGAACCGGGCTTTTCCGGTGAATGTTTTCTCGGTGGAGTTTTTCCTCGCTTTTTGAACGTGAGCGTGGTTCACGTTTCGCTTCCATTCGCTTCCGTTCGAGCAAATTTCGCTGAAGATCGCTTGATTGCATCTATCCAGAGTCACCTTTTCCCCAACTACAACAAAGTCTCCTGCGAAAGCTGGCACCTCGTCCGCGGACTGGATAATATCATGACTGCCAAGGTTATTGTCCAGATAGAGGCCCAAGTCAAACTGGGGATCTTGAGCTGATACTTCGGCGATTGGAGTAGGCGCCCGATAATCGTCTAGCGCACCATTCCAATGATCTGTGAAGCCCTCGAAGCTCGGATCTTCCGGAAGGAAGAAATGGTCGAGGATGCTGAGGTCTATATATGGGGACGAGGGCTTTCCATTATTGTCCTGATAGGTCGATTCGGCAGCCTCAGGAATGTTCCCGTTCCACTGCTGATCGTTATTGTTCCAAAGGTTCTCTCCAGAAGATATCGCCCCACTCCGAACGTTTCCTTCTGATGCTTCTATATATGGGGACGAGGGCTTTCCATTATTGTCCTGATAGGTCGATTCAGCAGCCTCAGGAATGTTCCCGTACCACTGCTGATCGTTATTGTTCCAAAGATTCTCTCCAGAAGATATCGCCCCACTCCGAACGTTCCCTTCTGATGCTTCCCGTGAGTTGATGCCACCGCAAAGGTAAAGATGGCGCCCTTGAATCCCGTCTTCGTACGCCGTTGCATCAGGGCTCGTTAAGGGCATTCCGAAACCTGACATTCTCGAATGAGCGGCGGTATTCCCTCTCCGGATTCTACTCTTCTCACAGAACTTGCGAGTGGGGTATCCTCGGGTATGACGGGGCTGCTCCTCTGACAAGGAAGTCTTTCCGAATTCCCCGTCAAGTCAGCGATGATTCCCGAAGCTTCGAACAAAATTTAGTCGAAGAGCACTTGATCGTATTTCAGCGGAAATTCAAGCCAGAAGCGGGCTTCACTCTCTTTCGCTCACTCTTGAGTCGACTCTATTCCCTGTGAAACGATGCAAAGTCCAAGTTTAGTCACACGAGTGTGGGAGAAAATTTTTCATCAAAAACGCATAGGAGTTCATTCCCTTCTCGTCAGAGCGTTTCGATCTTGATCATCAATCATCATTATCAGAAGAAATGGACCATTAATCCGGAATATCTTTCCCCTCAGCCTCGTGTATCCCGAAGACAGTCTGATAATTTCTCCCGAATCTCGAGGAGAAGCTCCCGACGGCTCGCGCCTCGAAATTTCCCAGAGTCGATCCCCGATTAAACGTGCAACGGCGATTCGTCAGGACCGGACAAGGACATTCCTCTCTCGCGTCAGACGCTATCGCAGGGGATACCTTGTAATAAGCGATCCATGGTCAGGAATCGGATAGGGACTGCACGATTGAAGGGATTATGTTCCCGCCCATGACGACTGCCGATGACTCTCACTCAGTTCGTCTACTCTCAAATTATCGCCTATCTCTCTCCCGACAGCCGCCGGAAGCTGGGATGCTTCCGATCGCCCTTATTGATAAGACTTACATCAACCTGATCCTCGTCGCGATTCCGGCCACCCGGCTCCTCAGACTCCACAGGTCTCACCTGAGCAGCTTCGACGCTATTGTTTTGGAGAGCGCGTCCTTCCTCACCGCCGCGAATTTTCAATTGTCTTCGACGTTTAACTTCATCGGCGATCTAGCTCTCGATGGATGCCACCGTCTTCTCTGACACAATGGACTGATTGGGCCTCTCGCCTGATTGCTTCGTCAATATCAGGTTTTGTGAAACAATCACGTCGAAGTTTCAGGCCTGAAATTGATCCTCCGGTCTGCCATTAACATGGGTCGGCCTTGGATTCGACCGCTTTTCTCGCCTCTGGGTCTCCCGTGCTCTTATCGATAGCTCTGTCTTGGAATCTATATCAGTTTTGAGTCCTGTGTCCTGTGCCTCTCTCCTCCATACTCCAGATAGCACACTAGCCCATCCTGCTCGCCAACAAAAATGATTTCCGCGCTATTTTTGATCAAAACGCTCGGATCTGACTGCCGACCACTGGTCTGGCGGAAAGAAATCTCGATAGAGTGTCACAGATTGTGCTCGTTCTTCGCACCTCGGACCCTCGGTATACTATGAGCTGACCGCATCCCCTGATAGTGAAAATCGCTGAGTTCGATTCCGAGACACTCTACCTTGCTCAAATTCCAAAGGCTTCCAGCTCCGGAGAGGCTCATTCAGGGATAACCCACAGTTTTGCAACAGAAGCCTCTTACGCACGAATCCTCAGGAGGATTCGGGCGAGAGGCAGACAGCAATGTCGTTCATTCATGAACGGAAGGCGGGTCTCACCGTCGAAACCGCAGTCAATTCTGAAGCTCAAAAACTTCACTTCAGGCAGATTGCCGAGTCCGGTTATATTCTTCTGATGGTAGAATTTCACTGCCTCATTGGGAGAAAGAAGAGGTTGAGAGCGAAGTTGACAAAGCGAAGAACGAGCACAATCTGTGACACTCTATCGAGATTTCTTTCCGCCAGACGGGATGCGGTCAGCTCAAAGTATACCGAGGGTCCGAGGTACCGTTCCCCTGGATGTGGTCTGCGGCGAGTTTTCTTCAGGGAACATTACTGAATTTCAGGAAATCTTTCGGTCGTGATGCCGAAGCATGGGCCCAAGGGTGTCACGTCATCTTTTCTCTCGCTTGGCCCTCTCCAATACTCGACATCGCCACCCCGAGAAATCCTGTACATGCCCCTGCTGATGATAGGGCCGAGATTTAAAAGCGTTTGAGAATTCCTTACTCACTATGACCACCCTGCTTACAGGAGGCGACTATGTGTACAAGTGATTCATACGCGCATCAAAGGTTCCATGGATACCAAGAAAGTGAAATTTATTCGTTCGGAACTGCGGCTTATGACATCGCAACTCAACTTAAGCGACCAGAGAGCAGACTCGGTAGTTCAGAAAGAGATCCTGTGGCCTCGGAAGGAGAGGAGAGAAATGCATTACTGCTGCGTAGTGCGTAGCGACCGTGTAATTCTTGACTGGCTGGTTATCGGATCATGTACTAGTAGTCCATTTAGTCAACCGGTGTCTCGCCACCCAGATTCCGAGAGAAAGAGGGACACCTTGACAAGACAAGGCGATAGAATGTTCCGTTCAAAGTCACAATGGAGTTCGGAGCATATGCTTTCTTCGCAACTTGGCTGCTGGCTATTGCGGCGCAGACGACGATCGAGCCCGATTTCCCGATGTTAGGAGTTTTGCCCATAAGCTGTGAGGAAATCGAATGTACAGGGCTATCTTGATTGGATCTATAGCGAGGTTCTGCCAGAGTTTCATCAGGATATTTTTGCTGCTTCCACGGAATGCCCGGAGATCACTCCAGACATCTCACAACCGAGTTTCGAAGGGATGTCATCTCTTAACTTATCCTACACATCCTTGAAAACTTGGTATGTAGAACATCGTTGTATAAGTATATACATATGAATAACATCTTAGTATGTAGCGCCTCCACATACTCAGCATCTCCTTTTATAGGCGCTACTTCATCGGAAATTCCCTCGA